ATTCGATAACAACAAAATCAATTGTATTAATTAACCAACAAAAACACTTTTTGCTCATTGTCATTAGGTTTTTCTACATGTGTTGAATGGCTGTATCCCAGCAATAGAGATCTTTCAAGCTATTTTTATCACATCATAAGCTGTGATTACAAATTAATTGAGCTAATGACTCAACAGCCCAGACTTTTGTAGTTTATTAGACATCTCCCCACTGTTGGACATACAGGTGATTTACCCTTTTTTCACTTGTTAAAACAACACGGAAAAGACCATCTTTGTACGGAAATCCTTGTACATCCACCGTTAATTTCCGTAGGATCAATGCCTAGCTGAGGCGTTAGCAGATCACGAGGTGTATGCATTCGAAAGGCTGGTAAGGCGTGCGAACACTCGCTCACCAGAAAGGCTGGATCAGGATACACCCTTCCCAGCACTGCCAACATTGGCTGTGACACTTCTAAACGCCTTTCTGGAAGCAGTGAGAGCAATCGCTTTTTCAGAAGGCAAATATTTACGTTGTGAGAGTATTTGTTTAGCAGAATGAGGTGTAGCCTTTGAAATTAATCTTGGAAGAGTAGTTTTGTGTAATGGGAGGACCAGTCCAATCAACATTTACATGCCAGGCATCGCCCAGGGGACTATGAAGGAGGCCAGGGCCCTGCCCTCCAGGGGGCCCTCCTGTGGCTGACTTCAAACCAGGCAATGCTCGCTGAGCTACAGCAATGCCAGCACAAAGCCAAACCCCAGGCTGTGGAGTGGACTCTGACTCACTCGTGATTAACAAAGGATTCTGTGCTGACCTGGCAGCTATTTAGGTCTGGACTGTTGAGGGATTAGCCCATGAACTTGTAATCAAATCTTGAAATGTACCCATCCGAGGCAGAGAGAGAGAGAGCTTGAAACGATTTTAACTGCTTTTAAGTACCCAGGGGTTTTTCTTTTTTGTCTTTTTCAGTTCAAATGTTGAGCTTTTCCTATATTTATGACAAGGCAAGGTAAAATGCATTGAACTGGAAAAACCAGTTCTGTTTAAAAAATACATAGATCCCTAACAGCGTTCATCTTCTCAGCCAGCTCAGCTTCCTAGAACTTCCCTCACTTTCCTCGCGGCTGCTGGAAGGTCGCTTTCCAGTGAGCTCCGAGGAAGCGAGGAAGCGGAGTGAGGAATGGCTTTATGGACTAGTTTGCCTGTCCTATCAGCTTTTTACTGCTACAGTGAAGTGGCTCTCACCCTTCCTCATGCCACGACCCTTTAATACAATTCCTCATGTTGTAGTGACCGCCCCCCCAACCATGACATTATTTTTGTTGTTCCTTCATCAGTGTCCTTTTGCTGCTGCTATGAATCGAGTGACCCCTGTGAAAGGGTCGTTCAGCCCCCAAAGGGGGTGTGACCCACACGTTGAGAACCACCGCTGTAGGCGACTTTGTCCCTTTACCTTCCTCATCACAGACGGCTGGTAGAAGTAATTTCAGGACAAGTGTAATTTGGGCTGTATAATTCTATCAGAAAGGAATGTGGAGATTCATTTTAGGACTAGCCTAAGTGATACGCATTTTATTTAACATGCCCTTGTGTTTATTTATTTGTTTTAATAACTTGCCATTGACAAACTACGTTTCTCTATTAGAGGATCATCCAACTTTTGTATCACTGTCTTTGGACGTTCACAGTTACGGCGAGAGCCTCGGCCCCCAGCCACCCACCAGCTTGGCTAGATTTCCCGTGTGCACCAGATCACCCATGGCGGCCCTGGCCAGTAGAAGCACTTGAGGCTAAAGCATTTTTTACCTGAATCCCCTCAGTGTCTTTAGGAAGGATGTGTTGGGACATTTAGACACAGAGGAGATATCCCCAGACTGCTGAGTGGCCTCTCGTTCTGTCGGCCACTGGTTTGTGACCGACCTGCTCTTCATTTCCTTATCACTAAAATAACAACAACAAACAACCCCCCTGCTCTTGCATTGATTCCGACTCTTAGGGACCTGGTCGGACTGAGTAGAACTGCCCCCTAAGGCTTCGGAGACTGTACTTTGACAGACACAGACTCCCTCGTCTCTCTCACACGAAGTGGCTGCTGGGCTTTGAGCCTAGAGGCAGGCACCACATACGTGCACATGCCTGTGTTTGGCTGTTTAGGGTGAGCGTGACCTGTGTCACTAATCCTGGCTTGGACTCCCTCATTTTATCCTCTATATGGAGGTGAGCACCCTGTATTAGATAAGATGGAAGACAGAAAAAAACGGTAAGGAAAGGCCAAGGATGAGATAAGGAGTCCCCAGTGAGTACCTACCATCTGTCGGACTGTGGGCACGGGGTGGTTACTGATGGTGCCAAAGACCGGTCTTCAAACTATGATTCAGGCAGTATGGATCGTTCGGAAAGTCTCACAGAAACAGTCCAACGAGGATACAAATGACCTCCTCCGTAGTTTAAAAGGGGAAACGCTGACCTGGGAGAGAAGGCCCTGTACAGTTGTCCAGTGGCATGTTACAGATGTAAACTGCCTTTCCCCCACTAAGTGGTTTCAGGCTGATAACTAGTATTCCCAAGCGCAGCAAGAGAGCCGTCCTGCTGTCCTGTCTGCAGGCACTCGAAGGTCCGGCAGAAGAGCGAGATGGACATTGTCGTCAGTGAGGACTTGAGCGGAACGGTGAAGTTTTCCAGCTCCTTGCCCTACCCCAATAATCTCAACAGGTAAGGGGCATGACTCTTACTTACAGGTTTTCCTTCCGGCCTTCCACCCTCTATTTTCTTCTCCACACCTATCCCTTCAGCACCCATACCTTCATGAAGGCAAGAATTAAGGAGGGCCACGTACATCATCAGAACTAATTGCTCTTGACGTCAACAGAAGAGCCATATTTAATAATTCACTACGCTGTAACAGCGCCATTAGATTTCTTAACTGCTGCTTCTGTGAGCATTGATTGTGGAGCCCAGCCAAGTGTTTTATATAGGGTTTAGCTTTTCTTTTGGGGAGTAAGAAATTATACCTTATTTCTCTTTATACTCTATATCCAGCCCTCTTTGTAGTTTGATTGAATGACATTCTAGCCTA